AGAGTTGCTGACAAAGCCATTAGTGTTAATGTCTAGCTGTGTGGTTGCTTATGCAGCTAATGTGTAACTTCCCATTTCTGTGTTTGAATATTGGTCACCAGAACTGTGCAGGAAGCATGTCTCTGTATCCTGATTAATTTTCTCAGGAATTAAGTAAGAAATCTTATTTCTGATACGGTGATTTAGTTCCAAGGAAGGTTAATTTGAGGAGGCAAAAAGAGCCTCACCCTTTTTATATCAATTATAAGAGGTAGTTAAAAAAATCTCCCATTATAATGATGGACTTGTCAATTTCTCCTTGCAATGATAATGATTCTTGCTTTATGTATTTTGAGGCTGTATCATTAAGTGCACATGCTTTCAGAATTATGTCTTCCTGGACCTTTGAACCTCCTATTTTTGTGACCCTCTTTACCTTGTTCTCTTAGTATCATTTTTGTTTGTTTGTTGTATAGCTATAGCAGCATTCTTTTGAATAGTACATGTACGTTATGTAATTTTTTCCATCCTTTGACTTTCAACCTACCTATGCCCTTATATTTTAGATGTATCTTTTAAAAACAGTATATAGCTAGATTGTGTTTTTTGTTTAGTCTAACAGTTTTTGTCTTTTAACTTAGAAGTTTAGTTAATTTGAATTTATTGTGGTTAACACAGTGAGACAATCTTTGTCCTTTAACTGGTAAGCTTGATTGATTTACATTTATTGTGGTTATGGCCATATTTAGAGTTATTGCAACCATCTGGTGTTGTACCTCTTGTTTCCTGGAATTTTCTATTTTTTTATCTTAACCTTTTGTATTGAGTATTTTCTTTTTCTGATTTTCTTTTTACCTCTTTGGAATTTATACTCTATCTGCTTTGTTAGAAGTTATTTTAGATATTTTATTATGCATACTTATTAAATTGTTTACATTTAGTAGATAATACATGCAGATAGCTTAAACATTAAGCATTTTTAAAGTATACTATGAGGAATCTCCCTTCTATCCTTCTGCCTCCATCTGCTCAGTTCTAATCCTCCTATATATCTCTATGATATATATTATTAGCCCATATATTCTAATACAGATTATAAATATAGATACAAATATCTTCCACTTATACAAATGGTATCATAAAGCACAACTTTCTCTATTTTTTTTTCTTTCATAGTGTATCTTGATGCTCTTTCCATATTAATACAGGAAGAGTTTTCTTCCCCTATACTTTTTCCAAAAACAGCTGAGTGGTATTATATCAATTGTTGGAGCTATAACTAAATGTCTTTATTGATGAATATTTACATTGTTTTTAAGCTCACTCTTTTAAATAGATTGTGAAATATACATATGTCATTGTGTGCATGTCTATCTCTAGGATAAATTTCTATTATAGAAACGAATTGCCTAGACTGGGCGTGGTAGCTCACACCTGTAATCCTAGCACTCTGGGAGGCCAAGGCCGGCGGATTGCTCGAGGTCAGGAGTTCGAAACCAGCCTGAACAAGAGCGAGACTCTGTTTCTACTTTAAATAGAAAGAAATGAATTGGCCAACTAATATATATATATAAATTAGCCGGGCATGGTGGCACATGCCTGTAGTCCCAGCCACTCAGGAGGCTGAGGCAGCAGGATTCCTTGAGCCCAGGAGTTTGAGGTTGCTGTGAGCTAGGCTGATGCTATGGCACTCACTCTAGCCTGGGCAACAAAGTGAGACTCTGTCTCAAAAAAGAAAGGAATGCCTACTTAATAAATACTCTTACAATATTGATAGATTATGTATAGTTTTGCCACATGGCCCTCCAGAGGGTTTGTATTAATAACTATTTACACTCCTACCTGCAATGTAAGAAAGCACCTATTTTCCCAAAGTCTTGCCAGTATAGCTGTCAAACTTCTAGATTTTTGCCGAATGAGTGAAAAATACTATTTCGGTGTATTTTTAATTTGTATTCCTTTTGTAAGTCAACATTGATCATCTTCACACACATCTTTAATAATCATTTGTAATTATTTTTCTGTGAACAATCTGTTCATATCCTTTGCTTATTTTTCTACAGGGTTGATGGTCTTACTGATTTATAGGATCTCTTTATATAAGAGATTAGCCCTTTGTAATAGGAATCACAGATTTTAACAAAATATTTATGATTTCGAACCCAGGTTATTTGTTTCCTTGCATTGCTTATAGGTATAGGGGTGTGTGTGTGTGTGTGTGTGTGTGTGTGTGTGTGTGTCTCCACCATGCAGGATTTGTAGATTTTTGTGTAGTCACTCTAACGGTTGTTTTTATGGCTTCTGGACTGCAGATCATAGACTTTCCTACTCAGAGGTTATAAAAGATATGTGCTATGTTTTGTTCTATTACTTTTATAGTTTTATTTATATTACATTTAAATCTCTGATCCATTTGGAGTTTATCCTGATCTATGCTTAAAGGTATAGGTTCAACTTTGTTTCTACTTTATTTCTAACGATGTCATTTAAATTTGAAATCTCAAATACCATCTCAAATCTTTTCTCCATGGATTTGTGATGCCACTTCTATCATAATCTAAGAGTTTTATGCATTAGTATCCACTTGTGGACTCACCAAATATTAAGTTCCATTGATTGGTTTGTCTGTGTGTATGGCAATATACTTTGTTTTGATTAATGAGGCTTTATAGTATGTTTTATCATATGGTTATAATAGCGACCCCTTATTGCTATTCTTGTTTATTTTTCTATATAAACCTTATAGTCATCTTCTCTTAGTAAAAAAAAAAAAAAACCTATGGTATTTTTACTGAGTTCATGTTAGATGAATTCACGTAGGGAGAATGAGCTTTTTTATTAGCACATGTATTTTGATACAGCTGAAAGTACAGTAATATATTTACTCTCTGCATTAGTTTCCTATAGTTTCTGTAACAAATGACCACAAAATGTGTTGGCTTAAGAAAACAGACATTTACTCTCTCACAGTTCTGGAGGCCAGAGACCAAAATCAAGGCTGTGATTCCTTCTGAAGGGTCTAGGGGAGAATCTTTTGCTTCTTCCAGCTTCTGGTGGCTCTAGATGTTCCTTGGTTCATGGCTGCATCACTCCAGTGTCTGCCCACGGTCACATTGTATCGTCCTCCTCTGTCTTCTCTGTGTATCTGTGTCTGTTCTCCCTCTAGCTCTGTCTTATAAGGATACATGTCATGCGTTTTAGAGCCTACCTGGATTATCCAAGTGCCTCCTCTCAAGATCCTTAACTTAATCACATATTCTGCCATATAATGTAACGTTCACAGGTTCCATGGATTAGGATGTGGACATATCTTTTGGGGAGCCACCATTCAACTCACTACACCCGCCTTCTGAATCATGTAAGAATCTTCAAATACTTACACACTGATCACTCCTCCTAATTTATGTTATTGTCCAGTATTTTACTTCTATCTTGTTTCTTTATAACCATGCAAATTAAGTAATATTCTTATTATACACAGGCAGCATTCAGATTTACCACATATTTATCAATATCTATGCTCATCTTTGTTTTCTTTTATGTCATACCTTCTATCTGGTATTATTTTTCTTCTTCCTGAAATATATCCTCTAGAATTGCTTTTAGTGAAGGTCTATCTGTAGCAGGCTCTCTGTTTTGTTTTGTTTTGTGGTTTTTTATTTATTTTTTTGAGACAGGGTCTCACTCTGTCGGAGCTAGAGTGCCGTGGCATCAGCCTACTTCACAACAACCTCAAACTCCTGGGCTCAAGCAATCCTTCTGCCTCAGCCTCCCGAGTAGCTGGGACTACAGGCATGTGCCACCATGCCCAGATAATTTTTTTTCTATATATTTTTAGTTGGCCAATTAATTTCTTTGTATTTTTAGCAGAGCTGGGGTCTCGCTCTTGCTCAGGCTGGTTTTGAACTCCTGACCTTGAGCAATCCACCCGCCTCGGCCTCCCAGAGTGCTAGCATTACAGACATGAGCCACCGTGCCCGGCCAGTCTCTTTGTTTTTTGTGTGAAAATATCTTTGTTTTGCTTTTACTGTTTAGTTTCATTGGCTGTAGACTTCTGCCTTGAAAGTTATTTTTTCTTAGCCATTGAATATATTATTTTGTGATCTTCTAGATTTTACTATTGCTGTTGAAGAGTCAGATGATAGTCTACTCTTCTTTTGTAGATAATCTCTTGTTTCTCTTATTTGTCTTTGGTGTTCTTTCTTTACAATATGTGGTTTCATTTCTATTTATCCTGCTTGACATTTGTTGAGATTCCTGGATCTGAGGTTTGATATTCTTTCAATTATTCTGAAAAATCATCAGCCAAAAGCATGGAATGATACCTTTCTCCATCCTCTCTTACTTAATTCTTGAATTTTATTTACAAAATTAGATATATTTAGACCCTTTCACTCTATTATCCAGTCTCTTAAACTCTCATATATTTTTTATATCTTTATTTCTTGGTCACATTCTATGGAATTTCTTTGGTGCATTCTTCCAGTTGACTATTTCTTTAGCTGTATCTAATCTGCTGTTTGACCATTGGCATTTTCATTTCTGGAAGTTTTATTTGGTTTGTTTTCAAATGCACTTGGCCCTTTTTTAATACTGTCTTGTTCTGTGCCAATTTTTTCAAGCCTCTCTTTTAAATCTTAAGACATAATCATCATAACATTTTATATTCTGTTTCCAATCCCATTATTTGAAGTCTTTGAGGATCTGATTCTGCTGTTTTTCCTGGCTGTCTCTCTCATTGTGACGTTGTGACTTACTTCCATGTGTGTCTTTTTTTCTTTGGTGGTAATTTCAGTGATGAGGATTTATTGCCCACACCCCAAATAATCATCACAGTTGTCACTGGTGTTTGTTACATAGCCTGAGGGCAAAAATGGCTTTTACGCTCTCTTTCCAGGATTTCAGCTCTTACTCACATTTTTTTATTGTGGTTAAATATATATAACATAACATTTACCATCTTAACCATTCTTAAGTGAACAGTTCAGTGGCATTAAGTACATTTACATTGTTGTACAACCATCACCACCATTGATCTCCAGAAATTTTCATCTTACAAAACTGAAACTCTGTATCCAGTAAACAGTAACTCCCCATTGCCCACCATCCCCCACCGTTATCTCTGTGAATTTGACTACTCTAGGTACTTTATATAAGTGGAATCATACAATATTTGTCCTTTTGTGACTGGCTTATTTCACTTAACATAAGTCTTCAAAGTTCATCTATATTGTAAAGTGTCAGAATTCCATTCCTTTTTAAGGCTGAATAATATTCCATTGTGTTATTTATATATATATACACACACACACACCCCATTTTATTTATTTATTTATTCATTGTCAGTGGACATTTGGGTTATTTCTACCTGCTTTCGTTTAATTTTTGTTCTCTGCAGATTCCTTTCTTTACAGCTCTGCTTGATGCATTTTAAAGATTAATTTTTAAAAATATTTCTTTAGCGTTTTAAATTGTTTTCTTTGGGAGAATATCTAGATATCAGAGTATCTAGGCTATCTTATTGCTGGAAACCAAAGATACCTTCTATGTGTGCACTAGAAGACAATTGGAAAGAACACATTTTGACATTCTTTTAGGGCACTAGAAAGGGAAGATTCTGAAATATGGAACAATTAAAATGTAGTTTTGTATGTTTTAATGGTTTCCTTGAGGTCTGTTAGATAATATTTTTTTCCTTATGTATGAGAAAACCTTTAGAATACCATAAGAAAACACGTCTCTGTCTTGTAGGATTTGGCATTGTTAGCATGCTGTTTGTGTTAACCTCTCGCCTACCCTCAAATGCCCCAATATCTAGTAGTATCATCTGAAATTTGTACAGAAATATCAAAATCATAAACTGCTTGAGCTTCAGAGGTCTAATTTCTAAACACTAACTTCCTCCCCCCTTCCCCCGCTACTGTGTCTTCAAGATGAATTGGCTAAGGTTAAGTGACAGAATCACGAAAGGAGTCTGTAACAACTAGAACCTCAGTTGCCCCATTTTCATTCCAGTATATCTTGTACTCCCGTGTGTATTCTCTCTTTGGGGAGACTATCTGTGATCATTTAATGAGTTCTGAGCTTGGTCTTTTGAAGAGTTGCTCTGGATATTGACAAAGATGATCAGACATTGATGTGTGAGTCAGAGTAGAGGTAAGAATCCTCATCTAATTAACTGGTGAAGGCCAAATAGAGTTGACCTTACATATTTTACTTCAGTTCTGTCCCTCATATTCATGGAGTCTTTTTAGATAATAGAATGTCAGAGCTACGGTGGGGGAGTTCTTGTGATCATTCGGGCCAGTCCCGGATTGCCCACAGGGACATTTTGGGATCCTCTACCCAGAAGCTTTCATGTTATTTATAGATGAGGATACTGAAACCTAAAAGATCAAAATATGATTTCCCTAAGGTCACATGAAGTGTTCACAGCAAAGGCAGGGCTGAACCCAGGTCTCCCAATTCCTGTTCCAGTGGAGGATTTCTGTTACACTAATGCATTAAGTACACTTCTGGTCTTCAACTGAGCTCTGCCTCTGTGGTCTCTGTTTGAAGATTGTGAAATGTCGTAAAGGCGGTTTGCCTTTGAAAAGAAGCCAGAACCTGGAGGGTTAATAGAAATTGAACAGTGAAGGGGGAGCCTTTTTATCCTCTCCTCAACTGGGGAGCTGCTGGGCTGTTTCCCTTACACCGCATGTGTTCCATTATGGTATAATGATGTAATTACCAGTAATGCTGCTGCTGCTGCTGCTTGAGTAGTGGTGGAGAAGCAGCATTAAGGAAAAGACTAGCCCCAGTTCTCTCCTAAGAGCCATTTCAGCCCACTTCAGTCTATTAGATTGAAGATGCTGGAAGGGGAATGGCTTCAGCAGAGGAAAAGGTCAGATTTAAAAGCTTTTCTGGGCTTGGTATTTATTGTTGCTTTGTGACCTTCAGAAAAATCCCCTGTGTATTTGTCCTTGATTCTTGCCTTTCCCATTATTGCTTGAAAGCTGTGTTGCAGGCCAGACCAGGTCTTTGGCATAGATGGTTTTCTGTGTGGTGTTATTTAAGAAGGCATTGCCCTCTGTCCAGATGATCTATTTCCTTTTTTATTTTTATTTTTTGTGATACACAGTCCTACTTTGTTGCCTGGGCTAAGTGCAGTGGCCTGATCACAGCTCATTGCAATTTCCAATTCCTGGGCTCCAGCGATTCTCCTGCCTCAGCCTCCCAAGTAGCTGGGACTACAAGCACATGCCACCACACCCAGCTAATTAAAAAAAAAAAATTTTTTTGAGATGAGATCTCACTATGTTGCCCAGGCTGGTCTCAAACTCCTGGCCAGAAACAATCCTCCTGCCTTAGCCTCCCAAAGTGCTGGGTTTATAGGCATGATCGACTGAGCCTGGCCCCCTATTGCTTTATTTTGCCTATTGCACTACACCATTGTAGTGTCAGTAGTCTTTTTGACTCTTGAATGTTTTAGTTTTCAGAAATTCAACACTTTTTATGTGAATATATGTTATATATAATATAGTTATATATTTGTTATATATAATATGTTATACATAAAATATATATTAGACCTAAACAATTTATGAGTTAAAACTGTAAAATACAGAAAAGTAAGCAGTAGGACCAAGTGCATTAGGCAAATCACTTAACCTTTCTGTGAATCTTTCTAAAACATACACCCTGCCACCTGATGATTATAAGGAGGTAATAATGGTCTGTGGAACACAGTACACCCTTCCAAAAGTTTGCCTCTATTAGGGGATAGCCATTGTTCTAATATTAATATTAGAATATAATATTAAGCACCTGCTGGGCCCAAGGCAAGGGTATGTAGGAAGTATGGCAAGTTTTGCTTATTTCAGTGGTTCTCAGAGTGCCATTCCTGGACCACAGCAGCATCAACATCACATAAGAACCTATTAGAAATGCAAATTCTCAGGCCCCAAGCCAGACCTACTGAGTCATAAATTCCAGGGATGGGAGCTTTCTGTCTATGTTTTACCAAGCCCTCTAGTGATTCTGATGCACACTGAAGTTTCTGAACCACTGGCTTATTGTATAGTTTAGTACCAGGAGGTATTTGATAATATAAAACCCCTTATGTTTATCTAGATCTGCACTCTTCAATATAGTAGCCACTAGCCACCAGCAATTATTTAAATTTTAATAAATTAAAACTAAGTAAAATTAAAAATTCAATTTCTCATTTGCACTAGCTACATTATAAGTGCTCAGCAGACAAATGCGGCTAGTGGTAACTGTACTAGACAGCACAGATATAAACATTTCTATTATCACAGAAAGTTCTGTTGGACAGTGCCAGGCTCAGAACAGTGGTCCTCAAACTTTAGCATGAATCAGATCACCTAGAGGAGTGGTATACAACCTTTTTGGCACCAGGGACTGGTTTCATGGAAGACAGTTTTTCCGTGGTTGGTGGGTGAGGGGATGCAGAGCTCAGGGATGATTCGTGGCCATTTTTCTAACAGGCCATGGATAGGTACCCTGTGGCCCAGGGATTTGTGACCATAGACCTAGAGGACTTGGTAGAATATAAATTGCTGGGCCCCATCCCCAGAGTTTGATTCAGTTGATCTGGGCTAGGGCTGGAGAATCTACTCTTCTGACAAGCTCCCAGGTGATGCTCGTGCTGCTGGCCCAGGGACCACTTTTTAAAGAACTACTGTTCTACAATAAGGATTTTGATCTGAAATCTGTGAGCTTCCAAAAATTGTAGGCAAAATATTATATAAATCCATGTGATGGTGGTTACAGGGTATAGGGCTCATAGTTTTAATCTGATTCTCAATTGGGTCAGCAGTTCAGGAAAACCTGTAGCTGTGGTTAAAAAATCTGAATGACAGCGACTTAAGTCACAAGGATATTGATGTTCATTTAGCCGAGTAAGAGACAGGAAGTTTCAGGGTTCTTTCAGTGGCTCAAGCATGTCACCAGGAAAATCAGGCACTTTCTCTCCCCAGAAAATCCCTTATGTTTGTTGGCCACAACTAGGTCACATGCCTACCTCCAGACCAGTCCCAGCAATGAGGAATGAGATTTGTATCCTTGCTTTTGATTCAACCCCTGGGGCTAGGGGAGAGGTCTACCTTCCCTGAGACCATGGGATCTCTACCAGTTGCCTAAACAAAATATTAGTTCTGTAGCAGGGCTGAAGGGAGAAATGGATATTGGGTCTCTCAGCAAGTGACCAAAAAGTTAGGAGCATCTTAGTCTGTATGTTTTCAGCTCAGTACATGCTTTTAACTTGCTAGGCAAGCAGGGCCCAGACATACTGAGCTGTTGAACCCCTGCTGGGCTCTGTCCTCTCAAGCCTTATGACAGGTTCTGTGAAGCCATTCTGTACATAACAGGGTGAAGTGGGGTGGAATTTAAAAATCTGATCCTTAGCCAAGCTTGGGGGCATATCCCTGTAGTCCCAGCTACTTGAGAGGCTAAGGTGGGAGGCTTGAGCCCAGAGGTTCGAGACCAGCCTGGGCATCATAGCAAGACCCCATCTCTTAAAAAACAAAACAAACCCTGAACCAGTCCCTGAGAGTCAGCATCAAGTCAGCCTTAAAACCAGACCCTGGCTGAGCACAGGAGTTTGAGACCAGACTAGGCAACATAGTGAGATCCTATCTCTACAAAAAATAAGAAAAGTTAGCCAGGCATGGTGGTGCATGTCTATAGTCCCAGCTACCCTGAAGGCTGAGATGGGAGAATGCCTGAGTCTAGACATTGGAGGTTGCATTGAGCTATAATCACGCCACTGCACTGAACTCCAGCCCAGGCAACAGAGTGAGACCCCATCTCTTAAAACAAACAAACAAAAGATCACTAGTCTTCCTCTGATTTGGGCCCACAATTCTTAGAATTGACTCAAGGTCCCTGACAAAGTACTACTCTTATTCTTTTCTTTCACAAGTCTTCTTGGAACTGGAGTCCTGGTCCTGGATTTTGGGACCAAACACGTGGATTCTGCTACCAGACTTCCAGGTCTCTGTCTACTTGCCTGCATCCCTGCTTGTCTCCCCCCATCAGTATGCTTTAGATGCTCTGCTTCACTAAATAGAGATATCATGTCTAAAAATGCACAGTGTGAGAATCTTCCATGTAGAAAGAATAAATGAAGTGCTGGGAGTTAAAGGAGAAGAAGTGCTTCTCATTAAAGGAGAAGATGTGAGGAGAAAAAGCTTAAACACCCACTACAACCTACTGAATCAGAATTAAGGCATAGTCATCTGTGTTTTCATCTGTAAGCTTCACGGCTACTGTGAATCCCAGGCTGAGAATCAACAAAGTCAACAGACCTAATAGTGGCCCTGGGAATCCAGAGAAGTGCCATCTGATGAAAGGGATGATGGCAGCTGAGCTGGCAGAGCTTTCTGCCTGTGTCCCCTACCCTCCGGAACAGTTTGGCTTTAACTTGTATATTATGGTTCTACACAAAATTTTATATATAGAAATAAAGTATTTCACTTCTTTAAAAGAAAGAGGAGGAGGGCTACTGGCTAAATGATGTTGAAGGCCCCTTCTGACATTGGCCTTGGGTCCAAGGGCTAGAATACAGGTACTAGGCTATGACATGTGAACCAGAAATGTAGTACTTTCCTGTTTTAGGGGAAGGAACTCTGACCCCCTTGTTCTCCACAGGGTTTTGAGCTGACAGTTGCCTCCTCAGTCAACAGCTGGATATAGTACCCAATTGTTTGCAGCAAAAGTCCTGCAAGTCTGTTTCCTCTAAAAGTTGCTTCCACAACTTCCCTCCCCCCATCCTCCCAGGACAGAAGTGGACCCAAGGGGGGAAAGTTTCAGTTCCCCTGCCTGCTTGTGTGTCTTCCTCTTGTACCCTTGTTCAGAATGTCTAGGGAATTTTTATTTTCTGATCTTGCTTACCAGAAACAGTTTGGCAGAGCATAGTTTGGGCAGGAGGCTTTAGTTAAATGAGCACAAAAGCACATGTCCCTATGGTGAATTCTCAATGCATATGAAGGGGGGAAAGGAGCTTTAGCAACATTGCAGTTCAGTCTAAATCAGGAATGGAAATAAGGAACAACTCAAAACGCCACAATTTGTTTCAGACCATTTAGTCCCTGACTCTGTGTAACGCACACTCAGGATTACAACAGAATTTCAGTGTATGCTTTGTATATACTTCTTAGAAGTTTTTATTTGGTACTATAATTTATAGTGAGACAATGAAAAGTGGCCTGTTTTTATAAAACAGATTTCAGAAAGTGAAGCTTGGCTGCTGAGGAATAAACAGGCAGCAGAGCAATTCTTAAAGAGGGAAGTCATGAGACTCTTAAGGGTTTAGGGAAAAGATCGTTGTTGGTTAGAAATGTTGCCTTTGTTAAAAGTTGAAAAACACAGTCAATCCAATCTTTGGAGGTTCTGAGAGGGAGGGTGCCTTGCCAGTCTCACAGATAAGATTAGACAAGTAATCTCAGCACGGGGTCTCTCTGCTCTCCATCTACAGTGTTGTACCCCTTTCTGATTTTCCCCACCAAAGCATAGCCTCCAGGATTTCTCTCTGTGGCCTAGTTTCTGCAGCTCAAGCCCTGTTCTCCTTGATCTGTTGGCCTGGCTTCAGGGGAGATGGACTACAGCTGGTCTAAAGTAGGAAGAGGGTAAATTTACTTAAACTTTCAGCATGACCCATTTGCCTAACTTTTTCCACTGTGATGAATGAAAATATAGACAACAGAATGTTTCACAAGACAGACAACTCAAAGAGAGGAAGAACAAGGAAGTGTGCAATTTGTTTTTGCTTTTAAAGAGAAGCATATTATAGAACTTCTTGATTTTTTTTTTTTTTAACCTTTGTCATCTGTGATCCATTCGCCTGGCCAGCCAAGATATTTTGGCTTTTTTACTCTGGGA